GAGAGAGAGAGAGAGAGAGAGAGAGAGAGAGAGAGAGAGACTACGCATAACGCTGAATCTAATTTTGACGATTTTTTTTTTTTTTGGCGATTTATAGGCGAAGGCACAGTTACGGGAGAATTACATAACGGATGGATAGACGTAACGTGGGATCATGGTGGATCGAATTCATATAGAATGGGTGCCGAAGGAAAGTACGATCTCAGATTAGTCGGCGCTGGTCTTACAGATACGGATAGCACGGCAAAATGTAAGAGCGGCGGAGGAGTTTTAACGGGTCGAAAATCAAACAGCACTCCTAGCTTACCCGATTGCACCGATACCGTTATGCGTGGCTCGGTAGCTTCCACGGATCAAGCTGCGAGTGCAGATAATCTAGCGGCAAAGGTACAATAATAATTATTCATGCTGTCACGCGCGTTTGCTAATAATTACGGAAAATTGATACTTTGTATCTCGCTCTCGTATGCCGCTTCTGCTTGTTAACGTACGAATTTTAATTAATGAAACGAGCAGCAAGCTGCCGAGTCGATAGCCGAGAGTGTGTTATCGGTAGCCCGAGCGGAAGCAGTGGTTGCCGTAACTGGTGAGAGCGGAGCAAACTCGACGAGCGAACTTTCAGTTGTATTGCATCCCAGACCAGATACGACTGTTACTAGCGACCTAGCTACTATCGTCGAGAGCCTCACCCTCAATACGGACTGTCCCGTTAATAGCACTAGTAATCGAGCGTCCAGCTCGAAACCACTTTTCGCCACTGTGCGTGGAAATAAGGTGAATTCATTTGCTCAGACTGTTATTGTTACTCCGTACATTTGTAAACGACATCTTTATCCTCCTCACTTACTTTATCTCTAAGATAGATCGAGATAGTTTATATGACAAATGATCAATATGCGATTTGCATACACCTACATTACAGGCTAGTGGAGGCTTACTGAGTTTGGAAACTGCTGAAGTTCTAGACCGTATGAGAGAGGGTGCTGACAGATTGCGCAACAATACTAACAGTTTTCTGAGTGGTGAGCTACTTGGTTTAGTTCCCGTTCGAATCAGCGTTTCCGGCGAGTCAGATGAAAACTCATTAAGGATTAAATCTGTACCGAGACATCATCCTACTGGGATTGCGGACGGTATGTGTACCGGCTGATATAGCTGATAAAGCTTGTTTCGATATACTATTCACATTTTGGCACTGTAACGCTTATATTTAAATCAGACATATCAGAGTTTTT